CCTGCTGCAGGACTTCCCAGCTGCCATAATCACGTTAGCTGATTCTCCCAGTATGTCCCTTCTTATGTATCTATAGGTTCCAATCAGGTCTGTCTCCCTAGAGAACCCTGACTAACACTCCCTGGTAGTAAGAATATGATCATTTTAATATGTCAACACATTCTTTGCTATTCCTCCCTTCGAAAAGTGAAGTCTAATTGTGCCTTCCTTGACTATGGGCTGGACTTAGTAAAAGGTTTCTAACAGAGAATAAAGAAGGGACAGTGTGTATTTTCAGAGACTAGGTCATAAAAGGCATTCCAACATGCGCCTTCACTGTGCTCCTGGGTCACCTGATCTGGCAGAGCCAGTCAGCACATCCTGGGGACATTCAAGCAGCCCAAGCAGAAGCTCATGTGACAAGGAGCAGAGGTTTTTGCTGGCCTTGGAAGTAGATCCTCCAGCTCAGTCAAGCCCTCAGTTGATTGCAAGCCCCTAAGCTCATCCTAGACCTCATGAGAGACGGTGAACCAGAATCACCCAGCTAAGCCACTCCAGAAGTCCCAACCAGATACTATGTTATACTGTCTCTTAAGATGCTAAATTTTGGGACCAGTAGATGGCGTAATTGTTACACCACTGGACTCCCACGTAGTTACCCACAGTTCAAGTCCATGACTCCATGCCTTAAAACTCACACTGTGTTGGGACCAGCAGTTAGTGTAAGACTATGTCGCTGGACGCCCATGTAGTCGACTGTGGTTCACGTCCCGGACCGGGTGGCCTAAAAATCACAACGGGCGCATGTGCATGCGTGCCGAAGATCCCAAGAGGAGAATGGAGGAGAAGGGATTGTGGCATGGCCATTCCCTCTGGGGGGGGTGATTTCTCGCTTTCTGTCTCTCTCTGTCTGTCTGGTGAGCACACGCGCCCTATAGCAAAAACATTTTGAAAAAAAAAAAAGAAAACTCACACTGTGTGTAGGTGTGCATGTGTGTGTATGTCCATGCCCAAAATCCCGAGAGGAGGGTGGAGGAGAAGGGATTGTGGCATGGCCATCACCCCCCTGCGGGGGAGAGGTGATTTCTCACTTTCTATCTCTGTCTCTGTCTCTTCAGTGAGTGTCTACACCCTACAGCAAAAATCTCTCTAAAAGATGCTACATTTTAAGATAAATTATTATGCAACAATAGGTGACTAATAAAGCATCTAAATGCAATACTGTTCATTTTTTTAATTTAAATTTTTTCTTTTATTCACGATAGAGCACATGTATGTACATGAGAAGAAAGACACGAGCTGCCTCCACAGGATCTGGTCTTGCTGCAATCCTCCTCCATATCCTCCTGGCTACTGGATCCTGGACATTTCTGCCTGTGCCTACTGTGTTTCAGGCCAACCAGGTAGGGAGCAACTTGAACCATGGTCACCATCTGGGATCCAGTTGCTCTTGACCAGTATGTTGCCACTGCACCACAGAGCCAGCCCGTTTTTACTTTTAAACTTGGAATCGGACTGTTTCTTTCTTACATTAATTGCCCTCCAAGGAACCAGCAGTTAGCGTACTGGCTATGTCACTGGATTCCCATGTAGTCGACCGTGGTTCACGTCCTGGACCCAGTGGCTTAAAACTCACGCCACGCGCGTGTGCATTCGTGCCCAAGATGCCGAGAGAACAGAGGAGAAGGGATTGCGGCATGGCCATACCCCCAGGGGGTGATTTCTCGCTTTCTGTCTCTGATGAGTGCACACGCCCTATAGCAAAAATCTCTCAAAAAAAAAAAAATTGCCCTCCAAGTGACATTTATGAAAAATCATTCTGAGATATATAAACAATTTATTGAATTAATGTCAATCTTTGGTTCACGGTCTAAAACATGTAAGACAAAAATAACAAGTCTGTAGGTACTGAGAACCCAGAGCTGCTAGTGAGATCAAGCCCAAGTGCTGTCGCAACCACATACTGTCATGGGGATCAGGGGCTTTCCAGTCACCTGGCATCCAGAGACTTAACAGAAGGAAAAGAGGCCAGGTCACACAGTGAATGAAAAACATTACCATGTTGTGTACTGTTCCATCTACTCAGATTCTACAGCTTGAGGAATCCTATAAAACTGACATTGGCCCTTTTCTGAAATCTCCCCCAGTGTCCCGAATGTATTTGGGTGAGTGCACCTGGTTGGCGAGGGGGGATCAGGGACCCAGGGCAAATATCACATTCACATCATTCAACATTGTCTGTATGGCACCAGCTGCTGTGCTGCAACAACCAAGAATAGAAGCAGACAAGGTCCCTGCCCTCATGGAGTGAGGGAATTAGATGCCCACACAAATAAACGTACAACTGGGGGCCCAGAGGTGGTGTGCTGGACTCCCACACAGTCAATCCCAGTTCGAGTCTTGGACCTGAAAGCTTGCTTTCTCACTTTCTTTCTCTGTTTCTCTCTGATAAGCGTATATGCCCTATACAAATTTAAAAACAATAATGATTTTTAAAAATTAAATAATTCTTTTTTTTTTTTTATTTTGGAGAGGTTTTTGCTACAGGGCGCGTGCGCTCACCAGACAGACAGAGAGAGACAGAGAGACAGAAAGCGAGAAATCACCCCCCGGGGGGATGGCCATGCCGCAATCTCTTCTCCTCCATTCTCCTCTTGGGATCTTGGGCACGCACGCACACATGCCCGGTGTGAATTTAAGCCACCGGGTCTGGGACTCGAACCTCGGTCGACTACGTGGGAGTCCAGCAACATAGCCATTACGTTAACTGCTGGTCCCAAAATTAAATCATTCTTTTTAAAAAATCTGAGAGATGTGAGGTAGGCAGCTACAGATAAGCATCTAAAAGTGAGAGAAGAGGGCTGGGCATGAAATAGAAATATGTACACAGTACTCCATGGTGGCAGTAGCAGTTGTCGGAGGGTATAAGCTTGTATTAGAACTACATGGTCACATAACTGCAGTACATCTCTCCAAGTTATTTAATCTGATACTTTGAATATTCTGTCCTGGCATCATGTCAGACAATTCATTCTCACTCCTCACAGTCACTTTCCAAGGGAGAAACCATTTTTTTTTAATGTTTTTTAAGATTTATTTATTTATTCATTCATTTATTTTAATTTGACCAGAGAGACAGAGAGAGGGAGAGGAAGTGAGAAAGCAGGTTACCAGATCTGGGACAGAAACCATAGTCAGCCATGTCGGCGTGTCCAGCGCCTTAACCACCATGCCACCAGCCAGCCCCATGGGTGAAACCATTTTTAACTATCTACAAAAAATGGGACTGAGCTTTGGACAGTTTAAATCATTTATCCAAGGTCAGTGCTGTGGCATAGTGATTGAGGGAACCCAGATCCTACATGACTGACTCAGGTTTCAATCCTGGTTATTTAAAAATCATTCCAGGGGATCAGCAGATGGCATAATGTTTACGTCACCAGACTTCCACATGGTTGACTGTGGTTCAAGTCCCAAACACAGCGGCTTGACACAGGCCGGATGTGTGTGCATGTGCGTCCAAAATCTCGAAAAGAGAATGGAGAAGGGCTGTGGTGTGGCCATCCTCTTGGGGGTGATTTTTTGCTTTGTCTCTCTGTATCATTCCAATTTTAGTGTCTCTGTCTCTACCGGGAGCCCACGCACACTAAAGCAAAAATCTCTCATTAGGATAAAAAAAAAAAGTATATATAGATATATATAATCATTCCAGGTGGAGCCAGGCCAACAGGTTACATGGTGGTTAGGGCACTGGACTCCTACCCGGTTGACTGCAGTTTGAGTCCTGGGCCTGGCAGCTTGGTCTCTCTCTCTCTCTCTCTCTCTGGTGAACACCTGTGTCCTATAGCAAACTAAAAATAATAAAATTAAACTTAAAAAAAATTTTGAGAGGTTTTTGCTATAGGTTGTGTGCATCACCAGAAAGAGAGACAGAGAGACAGAAAGCAAGAAATAACTCTCCGGGAAGATGGCCACACCGCAATCCCTTCTCCATTCTCCTCTGAGGACCTTGGGCACGGTCACACACGCGCGGCGGGAGTTTAAGTCACGGGGTCCGGGACTCGAACGCGGTTGACTACATGGGAGTCCAATGACGTAGCCATGATGCCATCTGCTGGTCCCAAAAATAAAAATTCTTTAAAAAAGAGAAAGAAAGAAAATCATTCCAGACATCTCTATCTGTCCCAGATGCTGACAGGATGGAGAAATGTTAGACCAGGTTAGGCGGTTGACCACGCCCTGTTGGGGTGATACTTTCTCCTGATTCTCCCCTCTGAGGAATGCCCACACCCTTGGCAATTGAAGTAAATAAATCATTTGTCCAAAATCACACAGCGCAAACCGGGAACGAGACTAATCCTATTCTTTCACCTCACCGTTTGTGGCTGGGGTGCGAGCAGCACCGACAGAATCTGAGTGTGAACCTGAACGCGAATCCTAAAACGACCCGCAAGTTCTTTGCACCCTGATCGTGAGAAGCACTCGATTCCAGCCTGCCTCGGAGTGGGTTCCACTCAGGCAGGAACTGCCCCAAGGGCCTAGCTCAGCGCTCTAGGCACGTGTTTTTCACCTGGGTGCCTTTGCTCACGTCATTCTGTAACTGGCGTTAATTCTCCGGTCCAGGCCTGCAGGCTGGGCTGGTTACATCTGTCTATTGGAACTCTTCTGTAACAATTCTGCCTCCACTAGCCTGTGTGGTAAAATCGTTTTCTCTCATCAAAGTATCTCCAACGCTAGTCAAAATCAGGACACAGAGAGCAGAACCAGCCACCACTTCCACAAACTAGCAAATAAATCTCAAATCTGTCGCGGCGCAGGCTCGCGCAGGCGCAGTGAGGCCCGCGCAGGCGCAGTAAGGCCCGCCCAGGTCCGCGCAGGCGCGTTGAGCCGGTCTAGGCCGGAGAGATGGCAGGATAATGGGCGGGAAGTTTAAAGCCCTGAGGTCGGTCCTCCAGCCCGCTAAGGCTGGGCGCATGCGCGCGGCTCGCGCGTGCTGCCGCAGAGAGCCCTCCCCTCAAGGGCCGGATACCGGAAGTGGCTTGAGATGATCGAAAGCGCCTTGTCCTGCAGCAATGGCGGCGCTTGGAGTTGCGGCGATTAGTGGCCATTGGTTTTCGGCTCTGGCGCTCGGGGTGACTCTCCTCAAATGCCTTCTCATCCCCACATAGTAAGGGAGCCGCACTGCCAGGGCTGGGCGGGAAGGTCCCGCGGTCGATCAGGGCGCGATAGAAAAATGTGAATATGTCTGGGAGTAAGGAGGAAAGAAAAGTTTAGGTTGTGTGACCGCCATCCGCGTTTGTTGAGTCTCGCCAGCCGCCGCCGGCCTGATTCAAGCATGGCATCTGACTTGGGGCAGGCCACTGTAACACTTTACCACCTGTCGTCATCTTTAATATGCAGATCAAGATCGTCTTTCTCCACCTTCCATTCAGCCAAAACTGTCAGCAGCTTAAGGTGCCAGGCACTGTTGTAAATCCTGGAGATGCAGTGAACGAGACCTTTCCAGTCCTTGGTGGAGTTAGTGGGGGCCGGTAGACAGATGGGAATGTTTCAATTGGTGGTAAGACCTATAGAGGAAATAGTAACTAAGTGGGCTTTTTACTTTTAGAAGGTGATGTTTGTGTTAAAATATGGAGGATGCAAAATAATAAGCAATTACAAAAAAATAAGCAATTATTATTTTGCAGTTCAGGCATGAGAAAAAGTTGAGTAGTAAGGCCTTGTGGTAGGAAAGAACTAAGACCACAGATACTCTGCTGTGTGGAAGATGGGTGCAGGCCCAAGACTGAAAGAAAGTAAACCAGGAAGCAACCACCAAGTGGTGGTATGTATACAGTGGGGACGCAACACTCAATAGCATCCTACTTCCCTTTCTAACTTTTTCCCTTTTCACCCTTAATCCTTTTTTCCCTACCTTCCAGGTAGGGCCACTTCCTAGTTTAGGATTTTGTTGATTGATATCCTTTGATTCAGACCCTTGGTGACCCCTCATTGGATATGGGAAGGCTAGCTGTGTGTGTAGAATGTATGTCCATACTGATTGTATATGTAACATATAAATGCAGTGAGATGTATAATGACTCAGTCAAATGGCTTACAGGAACCTGAGGAGACAAGGGTTGGTCTGTTGAACTCTCTGCATAGCTGAAATCAAGTAAGAAACATCTTTCCATTTTAAAAGTGAATTGGAAAGGGCCAGGTAATGGTGTGGTGGTGAGGGTGACCTTTCCCACCCCCCATGGTCAACTGCATTGGTTGAGTACAGGACAAGTAGCTTGAAAAACGAGTTGGCATGTACCTGAATGCCCAAAAACCCATCCATGAAGAGAATGGAAGAAAAGGGATTTCAGCATGGCCATCTCCATTGGGGGTGCTTTTTCGGCAGGCAGACATGGTCTATAGCAAATTCTCAAAAAGAGAATAATTCCAAGTTCAGTCTAAGATGTCTAGCATCCAACTAATAAAAATTGCAGAAAAAGAAAAAAGAGATGGGAGGAAAGTAACAAATAAACATCTCCCAAAGTTGAGGGATACTAGAGTGCCCAGCATATTGAATGAAAAAAAAGACCCTCATCAAAAGAAATCAACAGAAATCTCAGACTGTTAGTGTGATTTAAAAAAAAAGAAGAGGCAGAAAAAAAAGAGATGAAGGGAAGATCATAAAGGAGACTGTTGAACATTTTATCCCAAATCCAATAGAGAAGCTTTCCAAAGTGAGTGAAAGTGATTTTTGACATCAAATTCTATACCTAGCTAAGTATAGCAGAAGCAGAAATAAATAATGTACAGGTCACTACATTTTTGAAAAGTGAATATATATGCAAATAGCATCTAGATCAATAAGCAGGATGTTACCAGAAATCCTTCTCTCTTTCCAGTTACTTCACTGCCATCCCAGCAAGAGTAATAGTGTTCTGACTTAACTCCATAGGTCAAATTTTGCTTACTTTTCAGTTCTATACAAATGGAATCATATACCATGTTCTCTTGGGTCTGGCTTCTTTCACTCCACTCTGAGCTTATACGTTGTAGCATATACTTATACTTTGTTCAGTCTTGTCACTAAATAGCAGCAGTTCTTAAAGTTCTTGGTCAGAATTCCTTTATCTTTTAAAAATCATCAAGGACCTTAAGAGCTATATGTTTACGTGGGCAGCATATTAGATGTTGGTCATTTTAGAAATTCAAGCTGAGAAATTGTTAAAGTACAAGAATATACAAGCACAAATTCTTTTTTTTTTTTTCCCTCTCTGGAGAGATTTTTGCTATAAGGCACATGCACTCGCCAGAAAGACAGGCAGAAAGAGAGAAATTGCCCCCAGGGGGGATGGACACCCTGCAATCCCTTCGCCTCCATTCTCCTCTCAGGATCTTGGGCATGCATACATACACGCCCAGCGTGAGTTTAAGCCACTGGATCGGGACGCAAACCACGATCAACTACATGGGAGTCCAGCAACATAGACATCACACCAACTGCTGGCCCCACAAGCACAAATTCTACTAGTCATCAGTGATGACATCACATTACGTAGCCTCTGAAAATCACTGTTTGCTCATGAGAGAATGAAAGTTAAAAAGGGCAAATTACATCTCAGAATTATTATGAAAATAGTTTGGCCTCATAAACTTCTTAAAAGAGTCTTCCTGAGAGTCTGGGAGTCAGATTAGACAGCCACTGTTCTCTAAAATTCCATCGTATGCATGTTCCACAATTTATTTAACATTCTACCATTCATAGACATTTAAGTTATCTCTACTTTTTGTCTTACAAATAGTGCTGCTTTTGGCATTCTTATATAATACGTGTCTTTTGGGTATATATCTAGAAGCTGGAATTGCTAGGTCCTCAGTTCAGTTTTGAGTGGTGATTTTGAGGAATCTGGGAAATTCAGGGGAGGTTTTCAGCAAGAAGTTGGAGATGTCTGTCTCTAGAACTCAGAAAGGAAACCAAGGTTGCACCTTGTCATTTGGGAGTCACTATAGACAGTAGAATATGAAAGTGAGAATACGATTGTCCAGAGATGGAGCCAGCAGGTAACATGGTGGTTAAGGCACTGGACTCCCACAGGAGCGACTGCAGCTTGAGTACCGGACCTGCCAACCTGCTTTTTCACTTTCCCTCTCTGTCTTTCTGATGTGTGTATGCACCCTGTAGGAAATTTTTTATTAAAGTAATAATGGTAAGGTTAAATTTAAAGAAAAAAATAAAAAAGTTGTACAGAGCAGGATGAGTTGCATAAAAGAGGACCAAGAATGGAACCTAGGAGAACATCAATAGTTACCTGATGAATATAAGAATGGAAAGCCGTAATTCAGACGTAGAAGGGATTAGTAAGAGACGTCAAGTTGTCACTGTGGAAAGGTCATGTAAAACATATTAGAAGGTGTAAATTGGGCTTTGTGTGGAACTCACTGTTGACTTTGGTGAGTGGTTATTGAACAGAAATGTATTAAACCCATCCATGCATAAGGACATGGAGGGAAGGTACAAGAGTAGAGAAACAAAAAAAAAATCTTCATGAAAGTTGAGATATGCTTGGATATATTTATAAGGGGTGGGGACTGCAGGTGGGGAGAATTTGGAGACATGGGAAAGGCAAGGCAACAGCCTTTTTATACTTTCTCTGGTGAATTCCTAACTCATCCTTGAAGATCCACCTTGTATGTTAGGCCTTTTCCAGATAATGAATTTTGTTATAACTGTTAATGAGCAAAAGTAAGTCACTTCTGAGCCAGAGTCCCTCCCTTAAGAAAAAGTATGGAGCTTTTTCGTTGGCCCTTTACAAAGCTCTGAGACCCTTTCACTGACTTATAAATCCCCTACAACTTTCCAGAAGAAGGTCCAACCTCCAAATAAGTGAGGTGTTTCAGGATTATGCAATGCCTGCTTTGTCTGCATAGGAAAGTAAGCTTTGACTGTTTAGGCACTGTCGGTCCACTTAAAAGTATAATTATAGAAATTAACAAATGTTTCCAAATCTCATTTTAGTCATTTAATTTTTTCGAGTAGCTATTCCACAGATTTTGAAGTCCACCGAAACTGGCTTGCTATTACTCACAGTTTACCAATATCACAGTGGTATTTTGAGGTAAGTGTTAGTTTTGAACTTTTTAATTTATTTGTTTAGTGATATATAAAACCATGTAATGTTTTTAATATGAAAACAGTTTTCCATTTATTAATACTTAGTGTGTGGGGGGTGTGCAGGGGACCTACAGGTAGCATGGTGGTTAGGGTGCTGGACTCCCACATGCCTAACTATGGTGCAAGTCCCGGACCTAGTAGCTTGCTTTCTCACTTTCTCTCTCTCTTTATCTCTCTCTGGTCAAAAAAAATTTTAATATAAAAATTAAAAATTAAATAATTCTTTTTAAAAAAAGAAAAAAACTTAGAGAGCCAGCAGATGGCATGGTGGTTAAGGTACTGGACTCCCAAATGGCAGATCACAATTAAAGTCCCAGATCTGGCAGCTTGCTTTCTCAGTTTCTCTCTCTCTCTCTCTCTCTCTCTCTCTCTCTTTCTCTCCCCCTCCCTCTCTCTCTGGTGACATGTCCTATAGCAAATTAAAAATAATAATAACAATGGGGCCGGCAGGTGGCGTGGTGGTTAAGGTGCCAGACTCCCACATGGTCAACCGTAGTTCAAGTCCTAAACCTGGTGGCTTGATTTCTCACTTTCTTTCTCTCTCTCTCTCTCTCTCTCTGTCTCTCTAGTCACACGCTGCCAGGTCCTGGACTTGAACTGCAGTCAGCCATGTGAGAATCCAGAGTCTTAAACCACCATGCTACCTGCTGGCCTCAAATAAATACTTCTTTAAAAAAATAGTTTTTATCGGGAACCAGCAGTTAGCGTAATGGCTATGTCGCTGGACTCCCACGTAGTCAACCGCGGTTCACACCCCAGACCCGGTGGCTTAAAACTCACGCCGGGCGCGTGTGCGTGCATGCCCAAGATCCTGAGAGGAGAATGGAGGAGAAGGGATTGTAGCATAACCATCCCCCCTGGGGGGTGATTTCTCGCTTTCTGTCTCTCTGTCTCTCTCTGTCTGTCTGGTGAGCTCACGCGCCCTATAGTGAAAATCCCTCAAAAAAAATATATAGTTTTTATCCAATTCGATTCTATACATATTTTACACGTATATATAAACTGTTACACAATAGTCCATGACATAGATCCTACCATCCTTGTTATATGGATGAGAAAACAGGGACCAGCAGTTAGCGTAATGGCTATGTCACTGGACTTCCATGGTGTTTACAACGGTTTTCCCGGACCCGGTGGCTTAACACTCAAGCCGGGCGCGTGTGTGTGCATGCCCAAGATCCCTAGAGAACGGAGGAGAAGGGATTGCGGTGTGGCCATCCGCCCTGGGGGGGGGTTGATTTCTCGCTTTCTGTCTCTCTGTCTCTGTCTTTCTGGCGAGCGCACACACCCTATAGCAAAAACTTCTCCAAAAAAAAAAAAAAGAAAGAAAGAAAGCAGTGAGGAAGCCAGTGAAATACAGTATTTTTAAATTTGCATATTTTTTATATGATCTGTGTTTTCATTTACTCAGTGACTTGTTTAATTTATGATTATTTAACACTTAACAGTATACCGGCACCTTAACCACCATGCCACCTGCCAGCACTAACTAAATGCTTAAAATACAAAATGACGTAGAGTGGTTTCTGCTCTTTAAGGATCTCCCAATCTAGTGAAATAAAAAGTGAGTAGCATGTGTGTACCATTTTGTTGTTTATAGGTATTTTGTATGTATTATTTCACTTAATCTTCACAAAACCTTGTTTTACAAATAGAGGAGTTGAGCGTCCGACCTACAGAACTCAAACCCATGCTAGTTGATCATTTATTGCTGTATTTAGAGGAGTAAAACCTTGTCATAATTGTTTACTATTTTAAGTTTCAGAATAATTTTCTTTCAAGTATTCATGTTCTTTTTTGGTTTTTAGATTTTTGCCATAAGGCAAAATTAATAAATGTGCACTCCCCAGAGAAGAGACAGAGGAGAGAAATGAGAACTCAATCACCCTCCAAGGGGGATGGCCACGCCACAGTCCTTTCTCCTCCTTTCTCCTCTCAGGAGTTTTGGGCATACACACACATACGAGCAGTGTGATTTTTCACGCCCCCAGATCCTACACCCTTACCTCAGATGGCCATGCAAGAATCTAGCCGCCTTAACCACCTGGCAGACATGGGAGGTTAGCAGAATGCATGTGTGTGGAGTACATGCACTGTGTGTACATGTGTGTATCCCAAAGAACAGGGCAGATCACAGAAGCTTCTGAAAGCCTACTGCAAGGAAGGAAAGAAAAGCATATGGAGCTATTCTGAGTGAGGAAAACAGCTCTGGAATCCTATTTGGGATTACTAAATTTTAAAGTATTAATTAATTATTATTAGAATTTAACCAGAGAGAGAGAGAGAAAGAGAGACAGAGAGAGAGAAGAAGGGAAGGAGGCTGGGAGGGAGAAAAGGAAAGTGAGAAAGCAAGCTGCCAGGTCTGGGACCTGAACCATGGTCAGCTACGTGGGAGTCCAGTGCCTTAATCCCCATGCCACCTGCAGGCCCTGGGACTATTTCTTTTTGTTTGTTTAAGAATTATTTAACTTTATTATTTTATTTTATTTTAATTTGACCTCCCACCTCCCATGTCCACTACCTGCTGGACCAGAAGTATTCTTAGTCCTTATCTTCTATTTAAGGAAATCAAAAACTATATTAAATACCTTAGGATTCAGGTTTCAATGTTCTGATCTGTCTTATGTAAGAATTGCTCTATTAATTTAGGGCATATTTTCAATGCAGTTTCACTTCATTGTGCTTTTTTTAAGGACCAGAGATTAAAGTTTTAAATCTTCACCTTATATTTGCTTATTCACTTACTTAGGATATGTTTCATCTGTGATCTTTTTTTTTTTTTTTTCAGGCAACTTCAGAGTGGACCTTGGATTACCCTCCTTTTTTTGCATGGTTTGAATATGTCCTGTCACAGGCTGCCAAATATTTTGATCAAGAAATGCTAAATGTCCGTAATCTGAATTACTCCAGCCCAAGGACTTTACTTTTCCAGAGATTGTCTGTCATCTTTACAGATGCACTTTTTGTGTACGCTGTCCACGAGTAAGTCTGGGGAGTATTGTTTTGCATGGCAGATATTGAGGAAGTACCATGGCTTATTCTTGATGTAGGGGAAACAGTGTTTACGGAATAGCCAGTGCTGGAGCAGTGAAACACTTTTGTGTTTTCAACTGCTGGAATAATTATAGTAATCAGTCTAGCTATATCTTGTGGAAGAAACAGGGATGAAATGGGGTTACAAAGCAAAGGTGAGATAAGAGGTTGTGAATGTTTGAAAAGAAATAGTCCCGGGGCCAGCAGGTGGTGTGATGGATAAGGGCACTAGACCCCCATATGGTCAACTGCAGTGCGAGTCCTGGACCTGGCAGCTTGCTTTCTCACTTTCTCTCTCTCTCTCTGTCCCTTTCTGGTCAAATTAAAATAAAATAAAATAATAAAGTTAAATAATTCTTAAACAAACAAAAATAAATAGTCCCAGGGCCCACAGGTGGCATGGGGATTAAGGCACTGGACTCCCACGTAGCTGACCATGGTTCAGGTCCCAGACCTGACAGCTTGCTTTCTCACTTTCCTTTTCTCCCTCCCAGCCTCCCTCCCTTCTTCTCTCTCTCTGTCTCTCTTTCTCTCTCTCTCTCTGGTTAAATTCTAATAATAATTAATTAATGCTTTAAAATTTAGTAATCCCAAATAGGATCCCAGGGCTGTTTTCCTCACCCAGAATAGCTCCATATGCTTTTCTTTCCTTCCTTGCAGTAGGCTTTCAGAAGCTTCTGTGATCTGCCCTGTTCTTTGGGATACACACATGTACACACAGTGCATGTACTCCACACACATGCATTCTGCTAACCTCCCACGTCCGTTCTCATGGAGCTTATGTCATAGACAACACAAACCCTACCAAGTGCTTAAGGTTGTTTCTGGATTCTTTCCTTCATAAAAACTCTTATTTTCAGTTGTATTTGTAGTTTATATTTTTATGTTTTTCATTTTTAGTTATAAATTAATTTTAAGTAGCTGGTTACACATGTTGAAGATGTCTTGCACAGGGGCTTCCAAGTAGTGAGTTTCCAGTTAATGCAGATTTCCGTTCTTTGCTAACACTTAAGCCTGTTGGTGTGATTGTGACAGAGCTGTGACTGGTGTCCATCCAGTGACCTTTGTCACAAATGAACCTTTTCTATATGTGCAGCCTTCTGGGCTGAACCCTTGCCTCAGTCATGAAGGAGTCCCTCTGGAATGCTTTAACCCCTGATCATTCTATTGAGTAACTCCTGTGTGATGCTCTAATTTTTGGTCAATGTATGCCCTGGTAAGAGTTGGCATGGAAGGTGAGTCATAATATGCTTATTTTGAGTCAAAATGTGTGACTCCAAGCTCCCAGAGAACGTGATACTGTATATGTAGCAAAGGAGAAGGAGTAGAATTCTTTTCCATCTGCAAAGTAGTGAGAATAATTAAATAAAATGGTTAAAATCTATGTGCCAGTTTCCAGAACCAGGTTACAGATTATTAGGTTATTTAATTTTCTTAATTATGCTATAACATTACTGAGGAAACAGACTCCATGGGGAACAAGCAGAACACTTTTATTAGCCCCTTTTTAATTGCATCTATTAGTTGTTTTAATTTGTTTTTGGTTGTATTGATATTCAAGTGTATGCTTTTTTTTTTGTAAGAAAGGTTTTTGCTATAGGGTGCATGTACTCACTAGAGAGACAGAAAGCAAGAAATCACCCCCCATGGGGGATGTCTGTGTTACAATCCCTTCTCCTTTCTCCCTCATTTTCCTCCCAGGATCTTGGGCATACACACACGTGCCTGGCATAAGTTTCAGGCCTCCAGGTCCGGGACTCAAACTATAGTTGACCATGTGGGAGTCCAGCAACATAACCATTATGCCATCTGTTGGTTCCTGCATTTTTTTTCATTAAGAGGTTTTTTTTTTTTTTTTTTTTTTTTTTTTTAGAATTTTTTTTTTTCACTTTTTTTTCTTTCTTTCTTTCTTTCTTTCTTTCTTTCTTTAATTTGACTAGAGAGGGACAGAGTAAGAGACAGAGAGAGAGAGGAAAGTGAGAAAGCAAGCCACCAGGTCCGAGACTCAAACCGCAGTTGGTCATGTGGGAGTCTAGCACCCTCAACTACCATACCACCTGCCATTTCCCTTTGAGAGAGATTTTTGAAGGACCTGCAGATGGTGTAATGGTTACATGGCTGGACTCCCATTTAGTCAACTGCAGTTCAAGTCCCAGACTCAGCAGCTTAAAACTCACACAGGGTGTATATGCATGTGTGCCCAAAATCTCAAGAGGAAAAGGGATTGCAGTGTGGCCATCACGTCTGAGAGGGTGATTTCTCTCCTTTCTGTCTCTGTCTCTCTCTACTTCTTCAGCAAGCATACATACCCAATAGCAAAATTAAAAATAGTAATACATAATTTCTTAAGAGTACTTTATTTGACTTTATTTATTTATTTTATTTTGACCAGAGAGGGACAAAAAGAGAGAGGGAAAGTGAAAAACCAAGCTGCCTGGTCCAGGACTTGAACCATTGTTGATCATGTGGGAGTCCAGTGTCCTCAACCACCATGCCACCTGCCGGCCCCCATGATTTTTTTTAAATGACCCATATTCCTCCACCTATGATTATCACTGGTAACATTTTGGTGCATGTTTTTTTAGTCTTTTTTCTGAGTCAGAGTAGAATTTTCATGAAATAAAAATAAAATCATACTGTGTTTCACCTGTTATTGTCATCTAATAATATATCTCAACATTTAAATTACACTCACTTTTACAGAAGTTTTTTTTTTTTATTGTACAATCAGGAGTTGCAAATGTACAACTATGTTCTCAGTTTAGCTGATGTGATGATCTATAATTTAGAGTGCTAAATCTCTCTGGTCTGTAGTTTTTACTTTTAAGGCCTAAAATTACACATCACTTGCAAAAAGTTTTCAAATCTTTACTTTTAAGTTTAAACACTGCTTTTTTTCTTAATTTTTCATTTTATTAAATGAAGACTTTGTTCAAGTCATAGTAGCCAAGGAAGAGATATGGAACTAACCGTGAGGAGTTTGTTTCTGCTACTTTTTAAAAAAAAAAATTCTTGATAGAGCGAGTGAGTGCACACACATGCAAGAGAGAAGCAGTCTCCAGCAGGTTCTAGGTCACTCCACAATTCCTCTCCCTTAGAACTCCCTCGTCAGGTCCCTGAGGATATGTATGTGCCCTAGCTGTTAACCACCTTTTTAAGTAGTCAGGAATAGCATGAAAGCCTGGCTGCAGTGGTACAGTGGTAACATGCCACTCTGTGATGCTGAGGCCATATGGAAGGTCAGGGTTCTGTTCCCAGGTTTCCTTGTGCAAGCCAGGTGTACATGCGCCTGTGATAACAGCTGGCTAGGAATCCTGGGCGTGGGGGGTGATTGCAGTATGAGACCTGTTAAGGGTATCTGTCTTTCTCTTGTCTCTCTCTCATGGAAAAAAAAATAAGTAAACTTTAAAAAAAAAGAGTGGCACGAAAAAATCAAAAAGTACAAAAAGAGGAGAACGACATGGACAGTTTGTCATGAATGCCTAATAACATGTATCAGAGTGTACTCTGCAGAAGTATTATGATGTTCTAATGAAGATCAAAGTTGTTTCTGTTTCTTTCCTGACGTTTCTGTGTAGGTGCTGTAAATGCATTGATGGAAAAAAGGGGGGTAAAGAACTCACAGAGAAGCCAAAGTTTATTCTTTCGGCATTACTGCTGTGGAACTTCGGGTTGTTAATCGTGGACCGTATCCTTGATGTTCTCTATTATTCCCTTATTTATTCAGATACACACACACACACACACACACACACACACACACACACACACACACACATGCATATACATGTAAGACTGTTTCTACCCTGATGATTGTAAATGTGTCAGATAGGGTTGCAGGCTCTCAAAACTGTAGTCTTTTTCCAATTTTACTGGTCTCTGGTTGCTAGAGCACTTTGTCCCTAAGAAGTTAGCAGTGCTATGTGAAAACCAGTTAAACCTACTGAAATCTGTTAACTGTCTTTAGATTAATCTAATCCATTTGTATTAAATGGTTTTATAATACATCATTCCAAATACCTTTTATAGGAAAGGGCATAAAACAGTGTCATATATGAGCACCATGAAGCTTCTGGTTTTTTCCTACCATCTTGGCTTCGTGCATATTAGTAAGCAAAGTTCTTTTTTTTTTTTTTTTTTGAGAGGATTTTCACTATAGGGTGCGTGCGCTCGCCAGACAGACAGAGAGAGACAGAGAGACAGAAAGCGAGAAATCACCCCCCAGAGGGGATGGCCACACCGCAGTCCCTTCTCCTCCATTCTCCTCTCGGGATCTTGGGCATGCACACACACGCACCCGGCGTGGGTTTTAAGCCACCGGGTCTGGGACGTGAACTGTGGTCGACTTACATGGGAGTCCAACAACATAACCATTATGCTAACTGCTGGTCCCAGTAAGCAAAGTTTTTAAATTCATAGGACCTGCACATAGTTAAGATCCTGATGATAAGGCAGAGCGCTTTCATCACTGGACTCCCATATGGCCAAACACTGCTTGAGCCCAGGACCCAGTATCTTAAAACTCATGCTGGGTGTGTGTGTGTGTCCAAGATCCTGGGAGGAGAATGGAGGAGAAGGAATTGCGGCATGGTCTTCCCCGCTGGGGTAGGGGTGATTTCTCACTTTCCCTCTCACTCTCTCTGTCTCTCTCTCTCTGGTGAGTACATACACCCTAAGGCAAAAATCTTTTAAATAAAAAAAGGAAATCTTAATGTTAGAAGCCTAATATTTTACATTTTTTATAGAGGTATCCTGGTGTGGAAGAAAACACCTAGATTTTGGTTTCATTCTGACTAGGACTTAAATCTAGTTTATTTTCATGTTCACTTTAGGTCCATGAGCAGATTGATGACTCTAAGCCTTAATTTTCTTATCTCTAAATTAACTCTAAAGAGGATAATTTAATTAATACATAAACAGTAGAGTCCAGCATACTAATGATTTTCAGTAACTGTTAGGTCCCTTCTTTTCTCATCCCTAATTCTTTCTTTTTTTTTTTTTTTTTGTAGTGGTTTTTGCCTTAGGTTGCGTGTGCTCGCTTGAAGAGAGAAAGAGACAGAGACAGTGAGAAGGAAAGTGAGAAATCAGCATTCGCGCCCCCCAAGAGAGATGGCCATGCCGCAATCCCTTCTCCATTCTCCTCCTAGAATCTTGAGCACCACATACCCACGCCCAGTGTGAGTTTCAAGCCACCTGGTTTGGGACTCAAACTGCCGTCAGTTATGTGAGTCCAGCTATCTGCTGGCTCCTCTCATCCCTAATTCTAAAAATAAAACAAAAACCTCTTGCCCCTTAGCTATTATGCCTTTAAGATAGAAAAAGCATATTCAAGTTTTCTGTTTTCTTTCTTACACATACATTTTAACTATGCAGTTCATTTAAGATTTGACTCTTATTTATAGAAAACACATTTATGGAAAGTCCAAAGAAGTAATTATATTTTTGTCTACAATTTACCTACGAGGAATAGCAAGATTTGCGATTTTTGTAATTAGTTGGCACAGTTAATTAGGCATTTGTAATTTCCATTGTCCTTCCTTGACGTAAGTTCAGATATTCATTTTCAGTACAATGGTTTTTTATTTGGGTTGATGCTACTCTCCATTGCACGATTATTTCAGGTAAACACGAAATTGGCTAAGTGGATTTTTTCCCCTTTGCTTATAAAGGCTGCAGTGTAGTGGGTGATGGGTAAATTTATTTGACCAGCTTTTTGTTTTGTTTTGTTTTGTTTTGTTTTGTTTTAGTTTTTGCCATAAAGCGCATGCACATCCCAGAGAGAGGCAAAGAAAGGGAAAGTGAGAAATCACCCCTTGGGGGGATGGCTATTCTGCAGTGTCCCTTCTCCTCTATTCTCTTGGGATTTTGAGCACTCGCATACACATGCCTGGCATAATTTTCAAGCCATCAGGTCTGGGACTCAAGCTACAGAGTGAGCCATGTGGAATCGAGCTACCTTAACCTCCATGCTACCATTTGGCCCATCTGTTTTGAGTTGCCAAATGCTATAGACAACTTTAATATATATCACAAATTTCATCTTTTTTGACAGTAGTTTTCTTTGTTTCATAGATGAGAAAATTATATTCTAAAACTTATAATACTCTTAATTTTGTAATTTTATACTCTAATTATACTCTAAAAAAACCTATTAGAATGTGACAGGCCTGAACTAAACTTAAGTTTCTACATTTGGTTGATATGTTTTATGTAGGACTGAAATCCGCAGTTTTTGAAATATATTAACGGTGGTAGCAGCGCTTTACCAGCGGAAGCACATAGCATAGTGTGATGGAAAGTACTGGACTTGATAACAGATAACACAGGTTGAAATCCTTACTGACACTAATGAGTTGTGTAACTCAGACAGAGGTTACCAAATGTATTAGCTACTTCAGATGAAGTATATTATATGTAATATCTTTTTAAAGTGCATCCATTTATTTATTTATTTTAAGGTTGTTTATTTCTTCCATGAGCAAGGGGGAAAAGAGGGACAGCACCCCCTACAGTCCCAATGCCACGATCCACCCCCAGATCACAGCATGTGTTTGCCTCATGGACTCAGGGAGGTCTCTAGACTTGACCCAGGAACCTTCCCACATGGAGTTGCCTCAAAGAACATGGCATTTTTCCACTGTGCCCGCATCCCTGCATACAGTATCTTACTGAGTTAACCTCATAACCATCCTGTGACACTATCCTCTTGTTATAGAGGACAAAATCAGAAATTCAGAAATGTGGGACCTCTCTGTACACAGAGTCAGAATCTTTGAAATGAGATTTAGAAGTGGCCAAGGCATTTTGATACACTGTCCAGTTTGGGAATTGTGTATCGAAGACAAGTCATTTAACTCTCTTGGCCTCGGTTCTCTCGTTTAAAAGATGAAATTTATCCCTGCATTCTTATTTTAAAATAGAGCTACCTACCTGACAGGGACTTTGGAACAATAAAATTTAATCATCTGTTTTAAAGTTCTTTGTCGACTGTAAAAGTTAGGGTAGACTTTACTCTTTTAACCATAAAATAGCCACATAGTGCTTAGAACATAATTGGTGTTAAAGGAGTGATTATTGGATATGGTTAAACAAATGAACTAAAATGTTACTATAGAATCAGCTTAGTCTTATCTGGATCTTAAATAAGTTGTAAAAACAGATTGGGAAGTATCCCATTCCCTTCCTTATTATACCTAAACCTACCTATTTTAGACCACACCTGATGAGACAGTGAGAGAGGGAACTCGGGCTCTCGTGGTCCCTTTGGCAATTTCACTTGCTGAACATCAGGACCATTATCTCATTTGATCCTGTGAGGTAGGTAGAATTTAGATTTTAGTTATAGTCAACTTCTTTTTTGTTTTTTAAAAATCAAAATGCTTTTTTCTTTTTTTTTTTCTTTTTTTTTTTTTTTTGGGCCAGAGGGTACATGTACTCACCAGAGAGAGACAGAGAGGGAGAGGGGAAAAGTACCCCTCAGTGGGACATGGTCATGCTGCAATCCCTTTTCCTCCCGCTCTTCACCCTGTTGGGATTTGGGGCATACTCATTGTGTTTTTCAAGCTGCTGAGGCCAGGACTCGCTGCAGTAGGCCATATGAAATCCAGCTTCCTTAAGCACTGGGCTATGAGGCTGGCCCTAAAATCAGAATAACCTTTAGTTCTCCTAAAGTTTGTTTGCTAGGATCAAGTATTATATACCTAGTGTCTTCACCCTGGTAGCACTATGTTACCTACTCATCTATAATAAAATATTTAAATATTTTTGTAGCACAGCACCCCATGTATTCATTTATTCTCACTCCCAGCCTCACTTTGGAAATCAACTCTAGCTACGGTCCAATAGTAAGAGGTGGGAGTAATTGACTCCTTGAGCCCTGACTCCTTAGAGAGTGTCCGTAGTGTGTTGTTACTGACGATTTATCCTGTATCCAGCCTCAGGCTTAGTACTTATTAAATGTGTATTCAAACAGTGAATTTACGAGTCCACTAGACTCAGTATTAAAGCTAATTAGACTCATTAGCCTGTGTTTCTCATTGTTTGTATTTATCTTGTATTTTGAAAACTTTTTATTCTAGAAAATTTAAGTCATAAAAAAGTAGAGAATGGGCCGGCAGGTGGTGTGATTGTTAAAGACACTGGACTCTCATGTGACTGACTGGTTTGAGCCTCGGACTGGGCAGCTTACTTTCTCACTTTCTCTCTCTCTTTCTCTGGTCAAATTAAAACAATAATAAAGTTAAATAAAATTCTTTAAAAAAAAAACAGAGAGAGACAATAGTATAGTTATTTACATATGCACACACACAGGACTTTTTGTTTTTAATTTGCCAGAGGGGTACATGTGCTCACTGGAGAGAGAGAAAGTGAGAGAGCACTCCCTCTCCCCATGGGGAATTTTCATATCACAATCCCTTCTCCTCCCTTTTCTCCCTCTTAGAATTTGGGGTACGTGTGTACATGTGCCCAGCATATTTTTTTAAAAGAATTATTTAATTTTATTTATTTATTTATTTTAATTTGATCAGAGAGAGAGTGAAAGAGAGAAAGTGAGAAAGCAAGCCACCAGGTCTGAGACTCGAACTGTGGTTGACCATGTGGGAATCCAGCGCCCTTATCCACCACGCCACTTGCCAGCCCCATGCCCAGCATATTTCTCAAACCACCAGGTCTAGGACTCAAACCATGCATTGGGTCACATGGGATTCAGCGGTCTTAACCATCATGCCGGTCCACACAGAGGATTATTTTAAGGCAGATTGCAGGTATATTACCTATGTATTATATTTCAGAATATATTTTAAAAGTTATTTTTCTATTTTTGAATAAACTTATTTTTGAAATAAATTCAGTTTTACATAAAAGTTACAAAAATTGCTTGGAGAATTCTTGTTTGTCCCACACCCATTCTCCTTAAGCTTTACCGTATTACATGACCACGATACTTTCATCAAGACTGAGAAACCAGGGCTGGGCCCATAACCTAGTGGTTAAGAGAGCGGGATCCCAAACGGCTGTTGGCCCTGTTTGAATCCTGGCCATAGAGGCTTGAATGACATGCTACACGACCCAAATCCCGACAGGATGAAGAAATGGAGAGGAGATTGCAGTGTGACCTTATTCCACTGGAGGGGGCATGTCTCTCTCTCTCTCTCTCTCTCTCTCTCTCTCTCTTTCTGGCAAGTGCATACACTCTCTGGCAGCTCCAACATTAAAAAAAGAAGAGAGACTTAGGAACGAACATTGGTATGATACATTCAAATTTCACCAGTTTTTCCACTAATGCCCCTTTTATATCCTGGGATTCAATCCAAGATTATTGGATTCATTGTTGCATTCATTTACCCTGAATTTTAAAGTGATATTTTCTTGTTAAATATTCTAGAAAAGGCATATGGAAGGAGCATTTCTCTTTGCTGTTCTCCTGCATTTCAAGCACATCTACCTCTATGTAGCACCAGCGTATGGTGTATTTCTACTAAGATCTTACTGTTTCACTGCAAATAAACCAGGCAAGTTTTGATGGTAATAGCAAAACCTTTTTTTTTTTTTTTCTACTTACCATATTGACTGTGTGGTTTGCTTGATAGAGGGTCTATAAAACACAATAGATAACTCTCAGCTACTGACCTTAGAAGCCCTTTACCTATTCTGATTTTTCTTTGCTCTCACCACATCATAAAAATGGGTGCCACATCAGGGGGTTCTTCTAGTTTTAGCACATGGTATGGGTTGTGGGTTTCCATGCTCCTGGCTAATGATAATGTTCTTTTTCTATAGATGGGTCTATCCGATGGAACAGTTTCAGCTTTGTCCGTGTTCTTTCCCTGGGACTGGTTATTCTCCTAGTGTCCGCTCTTTCATTGGGTCCCTTCATAGCCTTGGTAAGACTTTTTGTTTTGATAAAGTATTATAAATTTTTTCATGTTGTTTTGAAAAAAAATAATAAAGTCAAGAATATATGAAATAAATAAAAGCTCTTTCTTTTTTCTCAGGCTCTTATGTGCATGTTCAAATATGTGTATCTTGAACTATATGTTACACATACCAGCCCACACACAGACTTGGTCCTCATTATTTGCAAAGCCACTTACTTAAATGGATTCCTAACTTCAAAAATCAAGACAACAGCAGGGTACCAGCAGTTAGCATAATGGCTATGTCGCTGGACTCCCATGTAGTCGGCTGTGGTTCAAGTCCCAGACCCAATGGCTTAGACTCACGCCGGGCACATGTACATGCATGCCCAAAATCCTGAGAGGAGGATGGAGGAGAAGGAATTGCAGAGTGGTCTTCTTGAGGTGATTTCTCGCTTTCTGTCTCTTTGTCTCTGGCGAGTGCACATGCCCTATAGCAAAAATCTCTCAAAAAAAAAACAAAACAAAACAAAACAAAAAATGACAGCAGTCATGCATGGACACCAAACATTCGCAAGTACCAGATGTTCAAATGTGGTTTTCTCCCCCTTTCTGCTCCACCCTGAAATCAAGCATTATTCTAATTCCTACTAAAACTGAAAATCACCACAGCCTTTGGTGCTCTCCGCTCTCCCCTTTGCTCCAGGAGCCTTGGATAAGCGGCAGTCTGTGCTCTCCCTTGCACCTCGCAGATCTATCCACTATTGTGCTTGTGTGGTAATAGCACGCCCTGATATTCAGAAAACCTGTGCGTATCTTGTCCCACTGGATAGTTGTTTCTGTGAACTGCTCAGGACTGTACAGCCATTTGCTTGAGGAAGGGAAGACTGGAACCTAGACCTCGTAACTTTCTGCATGCTAGGCCAAAGACAGTTCCCCAGCTCTCTTTTTTGAATTTGAGAAGATTAATGACTATTTAATCCATTTTTTTTTCTCTTTTCCACAGAACCAACTGCCTCAAGTCTTTTCCCGACTCTTTCCTTTCAAGAGGGGCCTCTGCCACGCGTACTGGGCTCCAAACTTCTGGGCTTTGTACAACGCTGTGGACAAAGTGCTGTCTGTCATCGGTATGGTAGCAAGCCTTCTTGCTTAACCTTCTCCTACAGAAAAGGAAGGATTCACAGTTGGGCTATGACGTGATCAGACTGCCTTTCAGAAACCTTGCTTCATTTCAGTGGTGACAGCAGATTACTGTCATGCTGCCTGCCAGCATGGTTCCTGGAAACTTCACAAATTTCTTATTCTTTTTTTTTTTTTTTTTTTGAGAGATTTTTGCTATAGGCCTTGTGCACGTACTAGAGAGATAAGAGAGACAGAAAGTGAAAAATCACCCCCCAGGGGGGATGGCTATGCCACAACCCCTTCTCCTCCATTGTCCTTTCAGGATTTTGGGTACACACACACATGTTTGATGTGAGTTTTTAAGCCCCTGAGTCTGGGATTCAAATCGTAGTCAGTTACATGGGAGTCTAGTGACGTAACCATTCCACCATCTGCTGGTACCAAAAGTCCCTATTTTTATGTAAAGGGCTGCTTTAAATACCAGAAGCATTTTTTTTTATTTAATTTTATTTATTATTTTTCATTTGTTAGTGTACACTCACCAAAGAGAGACAAGAGAGGGAAAGAAAAAGTGAGAAAGCAAGCTACCAGGTCTGGGATTCAAACCACAGTTGGCCATGTGGGAGCCCAGAGCCTTAACCACCATGCTTCCTACTTGCCTTACCAGGGCATTTTAGGTCAGACAGTACAGAATTAAATTCATGAGATCTTGGCCTTGAAGCAATAAGATTTAGTAGCTGCTTTTTTCCTCAAGGGATTGATTGGTAAAATATGGTGTTCCTTTGGTAGAAATGAAAATAAAATAAAATGTCTGCTTATTTTGTAGGTTTGAAACTGAAACTTCTTGATCCCAACAAGATTCCTAAGGCCTCAATGACAAGTGGTTTGGTCCAACAGTTTGAACATACCGTCCTTCCTTCAGTGACCCCCTTGGCCACTCTCATCTGCACTCTGATTGCCATATTGGTAAGAGCTCAAGAGATGATTCTTACTTACTGACTTTTCTCTGCTTTTTTATTTCCCTTAAGGCTGAATGAATTTTCACGTTCTTTTGTTTTTTGATGTTTTTGCCATAGGGCACATGCACTCACTGGAGAGAGAGTAACTGAGAAATTACCCTCCAAAGGGGATGGCCATGCCGCAATTCCTTCTCCATTTTCTTCTTGTGATTTTGGGCAAGCATGCACATATACCTGGTGTGACTTTCAAGCTATCAGGTCCAGTACTTGAACCGCAGTCAGCCATGTGGGAGTTCAGCACCTTAAACACCATGCGATGTGCTGGCCCCTGAATTTTCATTTTTAAGCTCTTCGTACTGTACAGTAAATTCCATGACTGTTATCCTTCTAGGATGGAAACATTTACTAGCAATTCTTAGAGTAACTTTTAACAGTAAGGAGGAGTGGTTCTTAGCCCATCTGTTCACCATGGAATAAGGAAAAAGAAGGGTCCAGGGAGAGGGAGGCAGGGACCAGGCTGCGGAGAAAGAGGAAAAATATTTTGTGGCAGGAACATCCAGATTCTTTTTCATGCTCGGTTGACTGATCAAACTTCCAGAAGTATCTAGGTGGTAGAATATTTTCTCTTGATGGTCGTAACAAGTTGAAAAGTGGCTCTTTGAGTATCAGATAGAGCCTGATAAGAGTCAGATACTGGTAGAGGCTTCATTCATAGTTGTTTTGTTCGTGATCATGGTAACCCCAATTTCATGATAAAATGTGAGTGAAATTCAATATGAACAACTCAGTCCTATCAGTAATTATTCCCATTCTTAATTTTGGCTTCCTAATGTTCAAACCTCCTCACTAGCCACCTTGATCCCACCTAATTAAGTGGCAGTGGGATATCGGTAATTAAGCTCTGCTGGTCTACTTGGTCAAATATTCTAGCTGAAATAAACCTTTTTTCCCTAAAATCTTAGCCTGATAAGCTGTTTCATAAGTCAGTTTTATTGTAAATTAAATTCCAACACACAAAGCGAGATTTTTTTTACTATACCAAGCTTTTTCATAAGTCAGTTTTATTGTAAATTAAATTCTAACACACAAAGCGAGATATTTTTTTACTATACCAAGCTCTTATATATATATATACATTTAATTGCTATACATCATTTAGATTATAAAGAGAGTTTATCCAGCATGATATACACCTCAGTCCAGCCCAGTCGAGAATGCTATACATGTCCTCATCAACAAATAATACCTGTGTCCACAAATGTCTTACCTCTCTATATTTTTCCCCAAATTTCCTTTCCTATGCTCTTCCCCTCCCACACTCTTCCCACTTGGTCTCTAGTATCCATAATGATTTTTAATGCTTTTATGTCCTCCAGTCTTTCAGTCTGTACCATAGAGTATGGACAGTCGGTATACGTTAAGTGGAGACATACAGTGTCTCTCTTTCATAGTCTGACTTGCTCTAGATGTTTATTAATATAGTAAAATTTAATTTATTGGCCCCAAATAGCTGTGATATAATTTGTCTAAAAAGATTCAGTAATTATTATAAGCTAGTTATAAAACTGTAATAAATTTTGGGGCCAGCAAGTGGCATGGTGGTTAAGGGCACTGGACTCCCACATGGCTGACCACAGTTTTAATTCCTGGACCTGGTGGCTTGCTCTCTCACTTCCCCACCACCACCCCCTCTCTCTCACTCTGTCTCTCTCTCTGGTCAAACTAAAAATAAATAAATAAAGTTTAAAAAAGATTTTTTTAAAACTGTAATAAATTTTTATATGGTGTGTTGTAGAATTTAATTGTCATTTATTATTAATTCTGATATGTAGAATTCATCTGAATGTGTTAAGTATTTACTTACAAATGACTGTTCTGAGTACTTGCTTTTATGCCAGCTTTTGGTGGGCTGTGCAAAAAGTGATGAATTACATCAGTTCAATGAAGAATGGTCTAGGATCTGTTTCTCAGAGATGATACAAATTGTATTCACATGAACATTGTTTCTGTAAAGCCTGCTTTAAATGATACTGAAGTTTTATCTTTGCCTGTTGTTTCTAGCCCTCTGTTTTCTGTCTTTGGTTTAAACCCCAAGGGCCCAGAGGCTTTCTCCGATGCCTAATTCTTTGTGCCTTGAGCTCGTTCCTGTTTGGGTGGCATGTCCATGAAAAAGCCATACTCCTGGCAGTTCTCCCCATGAGGTAAGCAGTTAGCTCACCCAGCCCGTGTTTTTGGCACACTTCCCAGTGATCCTGCTGTCTTCCATTTGCTTTGTTCCTTCTTGTCATGTTCAGAGATATAGACAAAGGCAAAGATGCATGGGAGCCAGTTTCTTCTAGGAAAAAACAGGGATGCTTAGCCTGGGGTCCTTGACACAGGAAGGTTCCGAAGTGTGCAAATATGCATGTACTGGGCCAACTGGCGACGTGGTGGTTAAGGCAACTGTGTCTCCCGTGGCCAACCATGCAGTGACTCCAGGACCAAGCAACATACCAGGCTCCTGAATGTCTCTGCCCAGAATCCCGAGAGGAGATGTAAAGGAGAAGAAATTATGGCATAGCCATCCCCTCTAGCGGGTATGTTCTCGCTTTCACCCTCTCTTTCTGACAAGTGTGCACCATCTTCTGGCAAATTAAAAAAAAAAAAAAATGCATGTACTTATTTTGCATTGCTGGGAAGGGTGCTATTGTGATCAAGTACTAGGACGCCAGGCTATTAGGTCTGGATACTGGGTGGCAGCATGGTGTATAAAAGGCTTGGGCTTCAGCATCATCCCATCTGTGAAAATAGAGTCCCAAGGTTCCTTATTGAGTGTTGTTAGTTCAAGTATGGATTGAGGGGCCAGCAGATGGCGTAATGGCTATATCACTGGACTCCTACATGGCCGACCACAGTTCAAGTCCTGAACCCAGTGGCTTAAAACTCATGCTATCCTCGTGCATCCCCAAAATCCCAAGAGGAGACTAGAGAAGGGATTGCAGCATGGCCATCTCCTTTGAGGGGTGATTTCTCGTTTTTTATCTCTGTCTCTCTCAGTATCTCCAGTGAGCACAAAGCCCTATAACAAAAATCTCTCTTTTTTTTTTTTTTTTAATTTTTTAACAATTTGTTTATTGTTTTCCATGGTAACCAAATATACGTTTATTTTTAGCTGTATTCTATTCAGTTAATAAATGCATGTGTTTCTTTTTTTTTTTATTTTTTTTATTACATTGGATTACATATAACTTTACATTGACTTCCATTGCTTTTTCAAAAGGGAATGCCATGCATGTCAGTCAATACAGAGGCATCGATCTCCCCGCTTTATCATTCAAAGTCTTTTCCATGCATTTCCCAATAATTATTATTATTATAATTTTTTAAAACAGTCAATCACTATTTCTCATTTTGCTTGTTAAAAGACTTCACCCATCATGAAATACTTCCCAGACCAGTCCAGTTGAGAATACTATACACGTCATCTTCAACAGATAATAAACCATATCTGTTTCTCACGAACATCCCCTCTATTGTTCACTTGCTATCTTTCTCTATCCTCTTCTCTTTTTTTTTT